CTCAAATCCCCTCCTTTACCACATGGAACAAGACAAGGATGTCCACTTTCACCACTCTTACTCAGCACAGTACTGGAATTCCTGGCCAGAGCGATTAGACAAGAGAAAAAGTTAAAGGGCATTCAAATTAGAAAGGACGAATTCAAGTTAGCCTTGTTCACAGACAACATGATCTTACATCTAGAACAACCAAAAGACTCCAACAAAAACAAACTGATAAATTCAGTCAAGTCACAGGATACAAAATCAACAGACAAAAACCAGTAGCACTTCTATACGCCAACAGCAAACATCTGAAAATAAATAAAACAATCCCATTTGCAACAGCTACAATAAAATAGCATAAACACCTAGGACTAAACTTAATAAAAGTGAGATAGCTACAATAAAAACTATACAGTACTGATAAAAGTGAAGTTAACATAATTGGAAAGATAGCCCATGAGGATTGGAAGAATACTGTTAAAATGACTGTACTATCCAAAGCAATCAACATTTTCAATGTAATCCATATCAAAATATCAATGACATTCTGCACATGAAAAGAAAAAGGCAATCCTGAAATTTGTATGGAACAACAAAAGCAATCCTGAACAAAAGGAACAAAGCTGGAGGCATCACATTATCTGACTTCAAAATGCTCTATAAAATTACAATAACCAAAACAAACATGGTACTAGCATAAAAATGGACACACAGATCAATGGAACACATGAAAGAACATAGAATCCAATCCACACATTTAGTCAATGGAGTTTCAAGAAAGTCACCAAGAACATACATTGAGAAAGGAAAATCTGGATAGCCCATATGCAAAAGAATGAAACTAGACGCCTACCTCTCCCCATATACAAAAGTCGTATCAAAACAGCTTAAATATTTGAATATAAGACCTAAAACCATGAAACTACTGTAAGAAAACATTGGGGAAACACTTCAGGACATTGCGCTGGGCAACTATTTATTGAGCAAGACCTCAAAAGCACAGGCACCCAAAGCAAATATAGAAACATGAGATTATATCAATCTAGAAAGCTTCTGCACAGCAAAGAAAATAATCAATGAAGAAACAACCTATAGAATTGAAAAGAAATTTGCAAAGTATTCATCAGACAAGAGATTAATAACCACGATATATAGGAACTCAAACTCAATAGCAGGAAACAACCCAATTAAGAACAGGCAAAAGTCTGATGAATTCATACAAACGGCCAACAGATATATAAAAAAAAAGTTCAACAATATTAATGGTCAGGGAAATGCAAATTAAAACCACAATGAGATCATCTGCCCAGTTAAAATGGCTACTATGAAAAAGTAAGAAAATAACAAATGCTGGCAAGGATATGGAGAAAGGGGAAGGCTCACACATTGTTGGAGGAATGTAAATTAGTACAACTACTATGGAGAACAGTAAGGAGGTTCCTCAAGAAACTAAAAACGCAACTACCATATAACCAAACAATCCCAGCGTTGGATATAGATCCAAAAGAAAGGAAATCAGAATATCAAAGAGATATCTGCACTCCCATGTTTATTGCTGCACTATTCAAAATAGCCAAGGCATGGATCAACCTAAGTGTCTATCAATAAGTAAAAAAAAAATTCAATATGTATATATATATATAAATATATACACACCCACAACTGAGTATTTTTCCTCTATAAAAAGTAATAAAATCTTGTCATTTGCAGCAACATGGATGGAACTGAAAGACATTACATTATGTGAAATATGCCAGGCACACAAAGACATATCTCATGTTCTCACTCATACATGGGAACTAAAAATAAGCTGATTTCATAGAGATAGTGAATCCAATAGTGGTTTTGAGGCTGGAAAGAGTAGTAGGTAGAGGGATGAAGAGGGGTTGGCTAATGCATAAGAGATTGCAGCTCAATAGAAGGAGTAAGATCTAGTGTTCAGCTGCACAATAGGGCAACTATAGTTAACAATAGTTTAAAATAGCTAGAAGAGAAAATTTAGAATGTTCCCAACATAAATTTTTGAGGAGATGGATCTCCCAGTTACCCAGATTTGATCATTACACATTGTATGCTGGTATCAAAATCACATATACCACACAAATATCTACAACTATCATATATCAATAAAGATGTTTAAAAAGCAATAAAGGGCATTTAACTTGGAAGAAATCCCATTGTCCTCCCTTTGCAGACAACATGACCTTATATATAGAGAAACTAAAAGACTCCACCCAAAATACTCTTAGAACTGATAAATTCAGTAAAGCTGCAAGACACAAAATCAACATGCAAAAATCAGCAGTGTTTCTATACACCAATAATGAACTACCTGAAACAGAAATCAAGAAAGTAATCCCATTTACAATATCTACCCACCCCCCAAAAAAAGATACCTAGGAATAAATTTAACCAAGGAGGTGAAAGGCCTCTGCAATGAGAACTATAAAACATTGATAAAAGAAACTGAAGAGAACACAAATGGAAAGGCATACCATGCTCATTAATTGGAAGAATCAACATTGCTAAATGATGATACTATCCAAAGCAATCTACAGATTCAATGCAATCCCTATTAAAATACCAATGATATTCTTCAAGAAATAGAACAAATGATTCCAAAATTAATATGAAAACAAAAAAGACCCCAAATAGCCAAGGCAATACTGAGCAAAAAGAACAAAGCTGGAGGCATCACACTACCTAACTTCAAAATATTCTACCAGGTTATACTAACAAAAAAAACATGGAATTGGTCTAAAAACAGACACACAGACCAATGCAACAGAACAGAAAACCCATCATTAAATCCACGTATTTATAGGCAACTGATTGTCAACAAAGGCACCAAGAACATACAGTGGGGAAAGGACACCTCTTTAATTATTTGTCATCAGAAAGATGGATATCCATGTGCAGAAGAATGAAACTAAACCCTTATCTGTCACCACACAGAAAAATCAACCAAAATTAATTAACTATTGTGAGCCTGGAAACTATAATACTAAAAGAAAACATAGCAGAAACACTTCAGGACATTGGTCTAGGCAAAGATTTTATGGCTAAGACCACAAAAGCACAGGCAACAAAAACAAAAATAGACAAATGAGACTGTATTAAACCAAAATGCTTCTGCAGAGCAAAGGAAACACTCAACAGAGTGAAGAGACAACCTATAAAATGGCAGAAAGTATTTGCAAATTATGCATTCAAAAAGGAACTAATATCCAGAATATACAAGGAACTCAACAGCAAAAATATCACAAATATTCCAATTCAAAAGAGGGCAAAGGATCTAAATAGACATGTATCTAACACATATACAAAAGGCCAATAAAAATGCTTATCACCAACCATCAGGAAAATGCAAATCAAAACCAAAATGAGGTGTCATCTCACCCCAATTAGGATGACTATTACCAAAAACACACACAAAAAAAAAAAAAAAAAAAAAAATTAACAAATGCTGGCAAGGATGTGGAGAAAACGTACTCTCCTACTAGGCTGGTGCAAAAGTAGTTGTGGTTTTTGCCATTAAAAGTAATAGCTACCCGCTCCCCCAAAAAGACACCTAGGAATAAATTTAACTGAGGAAGTGAAAGGCCTCTACAATGAGGCCACTGCCATTACTTTTAATGGCAAAAACTGCAATTACTTTTGCACCCACCTAATAGTACAGTCATTATGGAAAACAGCATGAGGGGTTCTCAAAAAACTAAAAATAGAACTACCATACAATCTAGTCATTACAGTACTGGGTATTTATCCAAAGGATAGAAAATCAATATATCAAAGGGATACCTGCAGCCCCATGTTTACTATAGCAGCACTATTCACAAAAACTAAGATAGGAAATCAGCCTATGTGTCCATCAATGGAAAAATGGATAAAGAAAATGTGGCATATATACACAATGGAATATTATTCAGCCATGAAAAAGAATGACATTCTGTCATTCATGGCAACATGGATGGGCCTAGAGGACACTATGTTAAGCAAAATGAGTCAGAAGCAGAAAGATAAAATGCTCCGTGTTCTCACTTATATGTGGGAACAAAATAAATTGATCCTATGGAAGTAGAGAGCAGAACTGTGGGTACTAGAGGCTAAGAAGGTGGGGAGAGGTTGGTTAATGAACACAAACTTAGGAGGAACGAATTTGCTCATCTGCAGCATTGCAGGGGAGATATGGTTCACTTTAATTTATTGTATATTCTCCAAATGCTAAAAGAGGATTTTGAATGTTCACAACACAAAGAAATGATAAATATATGAGGTGACAGATATGCTAATCACCCCGATACGATACTACACATAGTATACACATAATTATCACTCTGTATCCCACAAATATGTGCAAGCATTATGTGTCAACTAAAAACAAAAGGAAAAAACTATAGGGATAAAAAACAGATCAGTGGTTATCAGGGGTTGGGGTAGGGGTGGTAGGGTTGACTATAAAGGGACACGAGGGCACTTTTTTGGGAAATGAAACCATTCTGTATCTTGATTTTGATGGCAGTTTCATGACTGCATTTGTTGAAATCATAGAACTGTCTCATTAAGTAGGGTAAATTTTTCACATGTAAATTGTACCTCAACAAACCTCATTTTATTTTAAAAAAACATTTTTAAAGAAATAAACTAGGTAAAACTTGGTGTATGTTGTTTACTGAGCAATAACTTGTCAATCATAATGTAATTCAACCTGCTTACTACATATGTTCTACTAGCACTCTGTCCTTCACCCATCCTTTTAATTACATGTTTAATGCCTACATTCCCACGTGACTCTAAACTCCATAGATCCTTGCCTTTGGTTAAATCTCAGCTTGGTGGGTGACAAAAGTTCCAGGAAACAAAATATATGCAGTTTGATGAGTTACTTTATGTATCTGTTTCCTACCATGTACTGAGGGTCATTACTTTTGGGTTTATGAAACCAAGGTGGGGTTCTCTGAAGATCATTGAGATTTTGCCATGGAAGTGTTTCAATCTGGTTCCATACTACATACCTTGTCCTGGGTTTGGCAACGGAAACAGTCACATTCAAAGCAGTACTGGTCCCTCAGCTGCTTCCGGCGCTCCTCGCTGGTCATCAGCATATCCAGGTAGCAGATGGTGAGCTGTGCAGGCCAGAGAGAGGGAAGCGTTGACACATCTGCTGTGCTCATTTCTTTAACAAATGGTTACTATTATTGCTAATTATTGGAGTAAAACTTTTTATTATAAATCAGAAATGTAAGAGAGAAGTTACCACTCATAGTTTCTCTACCCAAATAATCACATGTAAATTTTTAATCTACTTCAGTCTTTGTTATGTGGTAAGTACATATGGATCATATATTTAAAGAATGGGGCTTATGATCTCTACCCACTTTTGTATGTTACTTTTTTTTTCACTACAGTAAAATATCAAAAGCTGCTGTATGTTTGGTATTACTAAGGTTTGCTAATAAATTCTATAACCATTAGCAATCAGAGAAGCCAAATTAATCCTGGCAACCAAAAGGGTGGCAGATGATACAGCCAGATTGCTCTTAAATTCTAACCAATTCTATAGCTGCCTCATGGAATTTAAGGTCATCCAAATTTGGTATCTTTGAAATGAGAAAACAGTTCTCTTACTTGTAACTAGGCTTAAAAAAAGGTAGAATAATTTCCAAATAGGGGAGAGTTTAACTTGAGAGTAGCACCGCTGATGGAAGCATTTAACTGACTGCCTTACTCCCTTTCGGAGAAGCATCCCCTGCCTCGGAGGGTGCGGGTTATGAATGAGAGGATGTATTTAAAGGACTCCTCAGACATGCTCTAACGCTGAGTCCCCTTTAAGTCACTGGTCTTTAGGCAACATTATAATGCTTAAAGCATTTTGCACTTGATTAGATCTCTTATGAAAGTCTAATTCAAAATCCGGGAGACAGAATGCTTGATCTTCCCGTCAACCTGTTCCATCTCGGCTGGAACATTCCCACTCTCAGTTGACAGGAACTCATCTTTTGTCTTATCCAAGTTGAAGCCTCAGAGTTATCCTTGACTTCGCTCTTTCCTTTACACCTACCATCCAATCCACCAGGAAATTCTGCGGCCTCTACCTTAAAAATCACCCAGAATCAACCACTTTTTACCTTTTCCAATGCTACCACCCTGGTCTGAGCCATCATTACCTCTTACCTGGAAAAGGTAACAGTCTCACAACTGTTCTCCCTGATTCTTTCTCTAGACCCCTGCACTCCACCCCCTAGCCAGAGTGGTTCACTTAAAATATGTCAGATGACATGTTCTGTTCGAAACATCACAACGCTTCCCCACTTTGCCTGAGTAAAGGTCAGGTCCTTCTAACTCCCGAAGTGCAACTCAAGTATGGGCCCTGCATTGGTGCTAGTGCACACTGTGGGTTACCAGTCCATGATGAAATGAGTAAAGAAACCAAGTCAATATTGAGAAATGTTTTTTACTAATTTGGTAAGGGTAATTTTAGGTGACTCTAACAACAAAACACTGGGCTTTTTTTCTTTTCTTTTTTTTATACGACAGGGTCTCACTATGCCACCAAGGCAGGTATGCAGTGGCATGATCACAACTCACTGCAGCCTCAACCTCCTGGACTCGGGTGATCGCCCCCCTCAGCTTCCCAGGTAGCTGGGACTACAGGCGTGCACCACCACACTGGCTAATTTTCTGTCTTTCTTGTAGAGATGGAAGTTTCGCCATGTTACCCAGGATGGTCTTGAACTCCTGGGCTCAAGCAATCCTCCCTCCTTGACTTCCCATGGGATTACAGGTATGAGCCACTGCACCCAGCCATTTTATTTTACGTTCTCTAAATTTTATTTTTCTAATATTTTCACTAGATTTTATAAAAACACTGGTCTGTAACAGACTAGGAAGGAAAAGAAACACTGGTCCTTCGTCGTAGGTGGTTAGAGAAGCAATGGCTTCACATAATCCCACCTGTTCCCTCTCATTTCCCACCTCCCTTGTTGCTGCTCCACCAGGCTGGCCTCCCGCGTCTGGCTCCACACACACTCCTACCTCAAGGCCCGTGCACTGGCTGTTCCCTCTGCCCTTCCACCCTGTCTACTGTGCCAACCTCATCGCCTTTGAGTTTCAGTCAAATCCCACTTTCTCATTCAGGTCTAACCTCAATGCCCTATTAAAGGTAACAACCCAATTCCCTTCCCTTCTCTAGTTTTTTCTTTTCCTGTATCATGTATCAGTTTGTACCATAATGTATAAATTACTTCTTTGCTTTGAAAAGTAGAAAGTAATCATGGGGGTATGTGTGGTGGGGGAAGAAGTGAAGACTTTAGGAGAGCAAGAAGGCAGGATTATCCACTGAAGGAGAAGCAAAAAACGCCCCAGAGCAAAAAACTCCATGTGGTTTTTCTTATACTTAAAGCATCTCATGTCTACAAAGCATGACCTTACTTGTTTGAAATCATGGTGGGGCAAAGGTGGCCATCCTCTTTGGCAGACAACGAAGCTTTGGGAAGGACTCTCTCAAGCTGTCGGGGTGATGGTGGATGGCTGGGCTGGCCAGCCAGATCTGTGAAATCCACCATGGCCATCACCAAGGGGACAGCAGCCACAGGCTGGCTCTCCATAGATTCTTCACATTAGGCAACCACAACACGCTGCTCCATAAACAGAAATGAGAGTATCTGCCCCGAAGAGATGCAGATGATGATGTTACTGAGTATCTACTGTTCGTGGCGAGGCAGCATTGCACAGTAAAAACTAGCAAAGGTCTTGGGTTCAGGTACCACTGAAGGCTGCACCCAGATCTCTTGATTTCAGTCTGATGCTCTTTTTCCTTTAACATGGCTGCTTCTCATACTTGGCAGGGAGAGAGGGCTGTAGAAGAAGCTGGCGTCTCTTAAGGCATTTCCATAGCACCCTCAAACCTAAAATACTAACACCTGTGTTAGGGAATGTTCGGTGGCAACTGAGATCCTTCAGCTGAGACAACAGTCACTTTTTGATTTTCTCCATGTTTCTCTTGCTTCATGATCTGAAGCCAGGGTTGCCTCTGAGGCACAGAGGGTCACCACAGCGGGCAAGTTCCTCTCATTTCTAATGAATGCTATGTTCCAAATTCCAAATAACCTATTTCCAAGCACACTTTTTGAAACAGCCTATGAGTTAGTCTGGGACAGTAGATACATTCACCTTATCCTAGCAGGCTCTGTGGGTCCCAGTGTCCTTATAGGAGGTGAAGGAGCAAATGAGTCCATCCCTATGTCCCCTCTTGGGTTAACTCTAGGACGCTAATTCTGAACCCAGCCCAATGGCTCTTAGTCATCAACTCCCATTATCCAAGCAGGTAAATGGACAGTAGTTATTGGGTGATTACAGTATGTCCAGCATGAAGCCACTAACTCCAGGGCCTGTCACACCAGAAAAAAATGTGCTTGACTAACCTAAGACTTTATTACAAGGGCCAAAACTCATTAGTGATCTTTTCAGGCAGTGAATGGGCAACAGGAGACTAGTTAATTCATTTAACTCCAATAAACTGACTCTGAAAGCCTCCCTCGGCATACTGTAACTGCCTGAACTACTACCTGGACTATGCAATGGCTTTCTAACTGGCTTCCCCGCCGCCTTCAGTGTACCTTTCATGTTCTAAACTGCTTTGAGAGGGATCTTCCTAAAACCCCCATGTGATGACGTCATTTCTCTACATGAAAACTTTCGACGGTTTCTCACTGCCTATGAATAAAGGCACACAAGGCTTTCCCTCAGCTAATTTTCTGTCTGCCTTTCTAGTCTCCATGTCTCTCCCTGAACCCCAGCCTGTCACAGTTATGTACATTGCTAGACCTCTGAAACAATGAACACCATGCCAACACATGTCTGGGCATCACTGCCTAAGCGAGCCTCTCCTCCACACTCAGATGCCAACACGTGTCTGGGCATCACTGCCTAAGCGAGCCTCTCCTCCACACTCAGATGCCAACATCGTGTGTCTGGGCATCACTGCCTAAGCGAGCCTCTCCTCCACACTCAGATGCCAACATCGTGTGTCTGGGCATCACTGCCTAAGCGAGCCTCTCCTCCACACTCAGATGCCAACATCGTGTGTCTGGGCATCACTGCCTAAGCGAGCCTCTCCTCCACACTCAGCTTACTGAGAGCCTCTCATCCTCCAGGCTTGGTTCAAATACACCTCCTTCCTATGGCGACTGCCCCGTTACCTCAGAGAAAGTGGCCCCTTTTTGTGCTTCTTATATGCCAATGAAGTCTGCAGAGTATCTGGTTATCAACTGTGAAGGGCTTAATGGCAAAAATATTTTATTCTTATTTTTGGGAAAAAACAGCCAGATTACTAACTGGTAATGACAGCTAAAAGCATGTTATTAGCCAAAGATAAAAACTTTTATTAAAGACTCATTGACTCACCAGTTGTAACGGAATATCTGCTCAGTAAATGCAGGGCTCATTTAGAGGGAATATATATATGAAACTTGGCCATTGATCAGTAGACACCTTAACGGCACTAAACAAAATTGTATTAAAATATTAATGCCACTGACCACTGCTTTGCCATTTTCGTGCAGCTCTTAGAGAAAATGCAGTAATTCATGTCTGTCATTAGAGTAATATAATGAAGGAGATTTTCTAGATCTTGAATACATAGTTTACATTAAAATCTCAAGACAAAATGAACTCCTTTTCCATGAAACCATCTTTTCATTGACTACAACTGAGTGGATAAGATAAGCAAGTTAAGGCCGGGCGCCATGGCTCACGCCTGTAATCCCAGCACTTCGGGAGGCCAAGTTGGGGGCATCACGAGGTCAGGAGATGGAGACCATCCTGGCTACTATGGTGAAACCCCGTCTCTACTAAAAATACAAAAAATTAGCCAGGCGTGGTGGCGGACGCCTGTAGTCCCAGCTACTCGGGAGGCTGGGGCAGGAGAATGGCGTGAACCCGGGAGGTGGAGCTTGCAGTGAGCCGAGATTGCGCCACTGCACTCCAGCCTGGGCGACAGAGCTAGACTCCCTCTCCAAAAAGAAGAAGAAAAAAAAGACCAAGTTACAATTAGACCTTGTTTCATTTCTAGAATTCCGTGATCACAGTTAACAAATGTTTCTGCTAATACTGGCTTTGAACTGGA